AACACGTTCACTTGCTTGGTTTGCCTTCTCTACAGAACACGTTCACTTGCTTGGTTTGCCTTCTCTACAGAACACGTTCACTTGCTTGGTTTGCCTTCTCTACAGAACACGTTCACTTGCTTGGTTTGCCTTCTCTACAGAACACGTTCACTTGCTTGGTTTGCCTTCTCTACAGAACACGTTCACTTGCTTGGTTTGCCTTCTCTACAGAACACGTTCACTTGCTTGGTTTGCCTTCTCTACAGAGCATGTTTGGTGTGAGAGGGATTCGAGCCCGCGACCTTTATGCCGGGCCAGATTGAGATCACTAACAAACAAAAAGTGAACTTAACACGTACACAGCATAGTCTATATATCATTGAATCTGGGATGTAATATATACTAAACACAGCGAAGGTTTTATTTATTTACATTTTGATGTCAAACATGTCATATACACAGAACCCACTATCTCATACTTGATCAAATCTAGTCGTACTACATACTTTTACAGGTCACGGACAACGACAGTGATCAGTAGGTCAGTCGTCGTATAATAATGGACTCCAGCTTAAATAAGGACTTTCCGTTATATATGCCCGAGGGAGCATATGTTAATTTCATTATCTTTAGGACAATGTAATATGTAACGAAAATTGTTTCCGAATTTTGTACGATATATTTCAGTGATATCATGTAGGTAATTTGTTTTCGGGAGCGGGAGGGAGCAGTAAGGTGTTATTATTTGGGGTTAATAGTAATGATAATCATAGAAACGATAATAAATTGATTGCCTTTTACTTTTCATGTCATTAAATTTACACTGTTACTTTGATAAACTTATACAGACAAATTTTTGAAACATATTTAATCAAATGTTTAGACATGGATTTGGAATTATTAAGACAGTATATGTTTTTGGTTTGTTTGTTGTTGTTGGTTTTATGTTTTTTTTGGGTGGGGCGTGCCCACCCATGCGATATGGGCACAACGCTACTGATAATTAGCATTAGACATATTGAGGTCTTTATACAACCCTGTACTGCAGCTTAGTGAACACCTCAGTCACTCTATGCTAATCAATACATATATTCATTATCGTCATCACGTTTTAATTATTGCTTTTATTTTCTCCGTTTCAAAAAACTGAAAAAAAAAAGATTGATATAGTTCAAACTTTTAAATAAAAGAAAATCATATCCTGAAAACAAATATTATTAAATTTCAATTGACATTTGTTTTAATGCTCGAAATGACTTCTTCCTTATCGCTAAGCCACTATTAATATATTATGATAGAACAAAATATACACCTTATTTTATGGTGTTAAACACCCGACAACATGTTAGTTTATTGTTAATCTATACGTAAGAACGTTTACTGTTTCTCAAGGGTCAATATATAATTAAGCAACATTTTTGGTGTTTACCTATACACAGCTGTCTACACTGTTCGTCTTAGTGTTTCGTATCACAGATACCCTTTTGTTTTCACGTTTTGCTACCACTGATGCACACTTTTCTTGACATTTTGCTATCACAGTTCCAAACTTGTCTTTGCTTCAATTCTAGTTTGATTCAAATGTTTTGTAATTAAAACGTAGCTCATACGATATGTTGGGAAGCTGTTATACTTTATTATCACATTCATAAATGGACCGGATATCATTATGTAATACTCAGTTTAATGTCACAAAACAACAAAAGTTGCAACTGAGACTGGCGCCTACGTTATATGTATAATTTATGTCATTAGTTGCACCTCGTTTAAATAAACACGCCACTAGCACTAGCACTACTTTCACCCACTTAACCGTCCAAAGTGTTGTAGAATTAAACACTGACAATCTCGCTGACCTACTTTAATCCTTTTTATAACTGTTTGTTCAAGAAACCTACTTGTTAGCTTTAGCATTGTAAGTATGATTACGAAAAAATCAAAATTATGCTGACATTCGGTGCAACTGTAATACGCCTCGGCACAACGAAAACATATTTAAATAAACCACGTCCATTCGCACTGCCCTCTACAGGCTACTTGAGGACGGAATCCTGGAAAAAGCGATCGTGTTTCAAAATTCTCGTCAGTAAAGGACGAAGATATCGCCTGTGAAAATCGATAACTATAATGTAGACACTAACAATAAACTGAGTTGAATTAAGTATTCATAACTTAGTTATCAAGACCATTGAATGCATCAACACTGCTTGAGAGCTCAGAATAATCTC